CCCACTTCGTGTGCGTTTTAGCATGTTACCTCTATTCAGGTTGAGACCGGCCTGTAGTCCAGTGAGAGTCCTTTTGTGTGACTATATATATATTTACGGATTATTAGCCATTGTTGAATTGGTTAGGGTGTACATACATATCGGGGCTCTGCTTGGATTATAGTAGTATAGAACTTGCGCGTTGACCTAACCCACTTCTATTTTTCAGGTACACGATAGTTCCAGACTCAGACGTGTTCGTGCTGAGCAGAGGTTTCTACTCACTCTACCGACGATGTAGCATTTCTCTCCATAGTTTATATCAGGATGTTCTTTCAGTTGTTTTAATTCAGTTTGGATTTTTATTAGGGGTCCACTAGAGATGGATTCTCGAGTTGTTAAACTTATGGAGTTTTGGATTGTCAGATTTTCAGTATTCAATTTTTAAAGGATTTATAGTTATTTTCTTTCAGCTTTTAATATTTATTCATATTTCATTTTGTCATCTGTGTTCGCATTAATTATTAATTGTTTGATATTTCCCTTGGGTTTGGGCCTGGGCCTGATCAACCTGTGTCTCGGATCCGAGGGGTATCACAAACCCTGCCAGGACCAAACAAGCTCTCTAAGCTCACCAAATACATCACAACAAATGTAAAACAACAAACACAAGTTCCTTCTTCAATTGAAATAAGGCTGACGACACAAAATGCCAAGTTACCACTTCATAAGATCAATTTTCAGCATTTAGATCTTGAGGGGTAAAATAGGAATTTCCTCATGAGATTCATTCAATAGTATCATACTCAGTCTTCATTCACTGTGGTACTCATGTTAATGACAATTAATCACTGAAGTGCAGCATGAGTTAAGCATATAGAACCAATACCACCCTTATTTCAGCAAAAACACAGTCTATGACAAAGGGTTGAGAACTAAAATTTGCAGTAGACCAATTTTCTATCACAAAGCCAACTTCACCATACAAGATTCATCAAAATACACTTACTAGAGGATTAAAATCTTATCATACAGTAAGGCATAATCAACCAGTACTTGAATCCATGAAAATCTCAGAAAATTAAGTAAAACATATGAGCTCAATGACCATTTTTGATTTTTGCATGATTTCAACACTAATCCAGTACTGAGCAAGTGTAAATAGGTGATTGATACCTGTGCCAACTCTCTAAAAATACCTTAGCACCCCAGAACTAAAATCCAATACTCAGTCCAGCCCTTGCAGTAGTGAAAAACAGCAGCAGCAACATCATCTCTGCTATAACTATCACATAGCTCGAATTAATGAGTTTTTCTAGCTTAAATCATCTTCAAAAACTTCTGAAAAACTAGTTCTATCAAGGCTCTCGAGTTAATTCAGGCTGCAGCTTAATGTCACTCCTTACACATTAGACTTAAACCCTAAAAAAGCTATAACAGCATATATATATAAACAAACAAAGTGCACAGATCTTCATACACCCACAGAATACACCTGTCACCTCAAACCAATCATTGGAAAGGCATAATGCAGATATTTTCAAGAGCAAGCACCAATAGTAGAAGGCTACCTTAGCAAATTTGTCTCTATGCAAACTAAAATTGACACATACACAACACATTGCAGCATACTCCATTCAGCTCTAGACTTAGCCACCAAGAAATGCAATATTCTTGCATATTCCCTCAATTTAGGACCATTGAAACGTGTCACACTACTGAGCATAGTAAGAAATGACCAGAATACCCTTGCAACAGATTTTTAACTTCTTGGCTAAGAAAAATCCTGAACCTGTATTAGTGACAATGCTGATTCACTCAGGTCAATCCAGTGCAATACAACATCCAAAACATACGCGTACATGTTGAATACAACTGAGAAATGACAATGCTACCCCTGGAACCATTTGTGACAGATTACATGAACCGAATCCACAAAAATTTCAGCAAATTAAGCAAGAACAGATAGATGAGCAGTGATGAAACCATTAAAACAGCAATGAGAGATAAGACACTGAATAGAACATGACCATACTATACTTGAGGCTTATTTCAAGCAACTTTGACAATGAAGAAACCCTTTGAACCTACTGGCACTCAGCTTTTTGACATTAAAGAGGCAAACAATACTTAAGGAACTTAGGACCAACAATCTCCCCCTTTTGCCTTTTTTGACAAAAACTTCAGTCATGAAATAAGACCTCAATAAAGAAGACTCAACCAAAATAATAAGAAGCATATTAATCAATAACAGCAAGTAAAAGAAGGGATAACTAAGAAACTACCCTTATTTCAGTCCATTCTCCCCCCTTTTTGACATTGAAGGACAAAAGGTATGAAGGACCAACAATGAGAGGCTTAGAAAGGGGTGGAATAACCCTGAGAAGAGCTCTGAGGGTTAAAAAACGTTGAGGGAGAAGAGGTTTGGTCATGATATCTGCCAGTTGATTTTCAGTTGGTAAGTAAGTAATGTCAATGAGGCATTTCTAAACTTTGTCTCGAAGAAAGTGATACTTGATGTCAATATGTTTGCTCTTCTAGTGAAATGTGGGATTCTTGCTTATGGCAATGGCACTTGATTATCACAGTAGAGTTTAGGAAGACCTGAGAAATGAAGACCAAGATCAGCAAGAGTAGTATGCATCTAGAGAAGTTGAGAACCATCTTGAGAAACAGCTATGTATTCAGCTTCTGAGGTAGATAGAGAGACAGTATCCTGCTTCTTACTTAACCAAGAAACTAAGTAACCAAGGAGATAACAACAGCCTGATGTACTTTTTCTGTCAGGTAAGGATCCACCCCAATCAGCATCTGAGAAAGCAGTGATAGGCAATATAGATGAGAAGATATAATGTAGACTATAAGAAAGGGTACCCTTCACATATCTCAGAATCCTTTTAGCAGCTTGAAGATGAGAGAGTCTAGGATTGCTTTAAAATCTTGCTACAACCCCACAGAATACATGATATCAGGTCTTAAAGCTGTGAGATACAAAAGACTGCCAATGATAGACCTATAAAGAGTAGAGGGAACTGATTATGTGGTACATTCAAGAGACAGCTTGGAATTAGGACATAAGGAAGTTGATACAGGTTTGTACTCAGTCATATATTAAATTTTGTAAGCAACTCAGAGGCATATTTCGGTTGAGAGATGAAGATTCCTTTGGAGGTTTGATGAATTTGAAGACCTAAGAAGTATCTAAGAGTGCCCAAAAGAGACATTTCAAATCTGGTTTTCATCAAATTGGCAAACTCTGATGCTAAAGATGTATTGGAGCCACAAAACATAATGTGATCAACATAGACTTGAAGAATAAGAAATTTATTCTGATGAAGGTTGACATAAAGAGTACTATCCACTTTTCCTCTATAAAAACCTTGTTCAATTAATAACTGATGTAGTTTTTCATACCAAGCCCTGGGAGCCTGTTTGAGACCATACAAGGCCTTGTTTAGCTTGAAAACATAGGTGGGAGAGCCTTGGGATCTTCAAAACCTTTAGCTTATTCCAGGTATACTTCTTCATTTAACTCTCCATTCAAAAAGGCAGACTTAACATCCATTTGATATAGTTTAACTTGCTTGTGACAAGTAAAGGGCAAGAGCATTCTAATGGATTCCATCCTAGCAACTGGGGCAAAGGTTTCATCATAGTCAATACCAGCTTGTTGAGAGTATCCTTTACACACTAATCTAGCCTTGTTTTTGATAACTGTCCCTTTTTCATCAAGTTTGTTTCTGTAAATCCATTTGGAACCAATAATATTCTTAGCTGTAGGTCTAGGAACCAATGTCCAAGTGTCATTCCTATGAATTTGATCAAGTTCTTCTTTCATAGCAACCATCCAATCTTCACTTTTCTGTGCTTCAGAGTAAAACTTTGGTTCAATAGAGGATAACATTGCAAAATGACTGTATCCTTCTCCATCATCAGTTTCTAATTCAGTGAGTTTCTTCTTGTTTCTTATTTAAACACCAGCCTAAGGAGAACCAATAATGTTTTCAGCTTGAAGCTATTTTTGTAATCCTGGATAAGTAACTTTTCTATGATCATCAAGTTCTAAGTAGCTTGAACAGATTTATCTAACCCTTGAATAGAATGAGATGGACTGGCTTCAGTTGATCCTGGTGTAGATTTGATGTCATCATTGATGCTGAACTGTGGTGTTTCATCAAATTTAACATGAATTGATTCAATAACCTTGGGGAATCATAGATTGTAGCATCTGTAAGCCTTGCTTTTTGTAGAGTACCCCAAGAATATCCCTCATCAGCCTTGGAATCAAATTTTCCTAAGTTCTCTATGTGATTAAGAATGAAACACTTGCTGCCAAACACTTTAAAATAATGAACTGTTGCAGATCTTCCATACCATAGTTCAAAAGGAGTTTTACATGAATTTGGTCTAAAAAGCACCCTATTGATGATATACACAGCTGCATTAACAGCTTCAGCCCAAAATCCCTTTGCAAGACCTTTTTCAAGTAACATAGTTCTTCCCATTTCCTGAACAGTTCTATTCTTCCTTTCCATAACCCCATTTTGTTGAGGAGTAGCTACGGCTGAGAATTCTTTCTTGATACCTTTTACATCACAGTAACTTTCAAATTCCCTCATTGTAAATTCAGAACCAAAGTCAGATCTAAGCTTCTTTACAGTACAACTTCTTTCATTTTCAACAAGATTTACAAACTTAATGAAGTGTGTTATAGCTTCAGACTTTTCTCTCAGAAAGTAAACCCATACCATTCTACTGAAATCATCAATAAGCAGCATAAAGTACTTACTTCCATCAATGTTTGTAGTTCTGGTAGGACCACAGAAATCTATATGTATCAGAATAAGAGCTCTGGATGTGTTGATTTCTTTGGAAGGGAATGACACTTTAGTTTGTTTACCTTGCTGACATGCTTTGCATAGATGATTGTCATTGAATTTTAAATTAGGTAGACCTTTCACAGCTTTCAATTTTAGGATTTTAATTAGATTTTTGGAGTGAAGATGACCTAGTCTCTTATGTCATAGTATAGCTTCATTTAGAGAGGTCAAATTGCAATAAGTAGCTTCTTCTGAGACTGTGTATACATTTCCAGAGGATCTGTAAGCTGAGAATAGGTCTTTTTCAGATTCAATATCAACCACATTGCATCTTTCCTTATCAAAACAGACTTTCTTCCCATTGTCACATAGTTGGCTTACACTTAGGAGATTATGTTTGAGGCCTTCAATAAGTAATACCTCTTTTATCTTAGGTAGTTCATCAGACTTACTCACAGTGCTAATACCAATAATCTTGGCCTTTTGATTGTCTCCAAAGATGATATTTCCTCCATCAAAGTTCTTTAGTGATACAAACTTGGAACTATCACCTGTCATATGTCTCGAGCAGCCACTACCAACATACCATTTGTCATTTGTGTTACCAGCTTTGAAGGCAGTATACACCAACATACTCACAGCATTCATTCTCTTTGGTATCCACATCATCTTAGACTTCACAAGAGATCTGCTATCCTTAACTTTCTGAACTGGAATTATGTCTAACTTCTTTACATACATTTTGGTAACTTTGTAATTCTTGAAGGTTGATGTAATAAAATCACTTTCATTTAACCTTGACTTGCTGCAGAAGCTGTCAAATGAATTATACTTTATTCTTGAGGGTTTTATGATTGGAAATCTTGTAAACACTTCTCCTGAAGATGCCTTAACAAACACAGTGTGATTTTGTTTCACTTTGGTTGCAGTATCACAAATGTAACCAATTCCAGTCTTCCTAATTTGCTTTGTGGATTGCTTCCAAATCTCAACCATTTTCAAAGATCTTTCTTGAAGAATTAGTGAGAGTTCTTTTCTATATCTCTTGGTTAACCATTCAGTATTGGATTGAGACTTCTTTAGACTTGAGAAGATAAGAGAAATTGAATATAAGGTAGGCAGCTTAAGTTTGAAATGTTTAACAAGAAGTTGTTTGGATTTTTGAAACTCAAAGCTAAGGACTTTCAGCTGAGACTTTTGTTGATTGCACTTCACAGCAAGTCTCTCACATTCTTCAAGAATTTCTTTAATCTCCGAGTCACTGTCTTCACTGTGTTCTTCAACTTCAGCTGCTTTCTGTGGTGTTTCAAGAGTAGCGATAAACAAACACTCATCTTCTTTTGATTCCTCAGGTTTGTCTTCTTCAGAAACAAAATCCCAATCTATGAAGAGGGTCTTTCTTCTAAATCTTCCCTTGAAGTTTCCCCCTTCTTTCTTCCTCTAATTTTGTCCTTTTGAAGTTGGACAACTTGAGACATGATGGCCAGGCTTGCCACATCCATAATAAGTTAGATTTTGAGATTGACTTCTCTTCTTAAATCTGAATTTCTTGAACTTCTTTGATAGATAGGCCACTTCATCCTCTTCAGGATCATCTTCCTCAGACTTTGGATCAGATTCTTCAGTAACTTCTTTAACTTTAAGTGCAGCTTCTCTTCTTTGAAGAGTAGGAGTTCTAATGCTCATCTCATAGGCGGTAAGAGAGGCTTGTAGATCATCAATCTTCATTTGAGATAAGTCTTTATCCTTAAGGATTGTAACCTTTGCATTGAATCTAGGTGTAAGAGACCTGAGAATTTTCTTACAAACATCTGAGTCCTTAATGTCTTCACCAAGGGATTTCATATCGTTGACAGTATCATTGATCCTAAACAAATACTCAGCTACAGTTTCCCTTTCCTCCATCTTACAAGCTTCATATTGAACTTTGTAGAGCTGAATCTTGTTTTCTTTAATGTCAGTACTTCCTTCATGGGTAGCCTGAACTCTTGTAATTCTTGACTCTAGTGAACTCTTGTTGCTTTGAAGCACAGTAAAGGACACGTTTGGCTTTACCATCATTAGCCACAATAATTTTATCAGCTTTAGAGGGATTTTCAAGATTAAGAACCACAATTCCATTCACTACAGTATACCAGACATCATAAGAGTGAGACATTAAGAATGCTTCCATTTTGATTTTCCATGGATCATAGTTCACACCACTGAACCCTGGACCTTTGTTTATAGCTTGGCCTTCATCCATTTCAAATATCAACTGCAAGCTTGCTAGAACCCTACACAGAAGACCAAAGCTCTGATACCAATTGTTGGACCAAGAGGGGGGGGGGGGGGTCAATTGGTCAAAACCTAGCTTCTTTCTTGAAAAGCTAAATAACAATCAAAACAGTAAGCAATAAACACTACAACAGAATTTACAAGGAAACCCTCTTAATCAGGGAAAACTTGGTTCTTGGCTAATGCCAATTCAATCATCCACTAGCTACAAGCAAGCTGTTACACACTCAGCTATCTCACTCTCTGCACACACCCTTGTCACAGAAGTAGACACTAGTTTTCACACACTCTACTCACACACTAGCTCAACAAGTTTATACACACACTCACCCTGTCCTAGGCAACCCTGCCAGGACCAAACAAGCTCTCTAAGCTTACTAAATACATCATAGCAAATGTAAAACAACAAACACAAGTTCCTTCTTCAATTGAAATAAGGCTGACAACACAAAATGCCAAGTTACTACTTCATAACATCAATTTTCAGCATTTAGATCTTGAGGGGTAAAATAGGAATTTCCTCATGAGATTCATTCAATAGTATCATACTAAGTCTTCATTCACTATGGTACTCATGTTAATGACAATTAATCACTAAAGTGCAGCATAAGTTAAGCATATAGAACCAATACCACCATTATTTTAGTAAAAACACAGTCTATGACAAAGGGTTGAGAACTAAAATTTGCAGCAGACCAGTTTTCTATCACAAAGCCAACTTCAACATACAAGATTCATCAAAATACACTTGTTAGAGGATTAAAATCTTATCATACAGTAAGGCATAATCAATCAGTACTTGAATCCATGAAAATCTCAGAAAATTAAGTAAAACAGATGAGCTCAATGACCATTTTTGATTTCTGCATGATTTCAACACTAATTCAATATTGAGCAAGTGTAAAAAGGTGATTGATACCTATATTAACTCTCTAAAAATACCTCAGCACCTCAGAACTAAAATCTAATACTCAGTCCAACCCTTGTAGTAGTGAAAAACAGCAGCAGCAACATCATCTCTGCTATAACTATCACATAGCTCGAATCTGTGAGTTTTTCTAGCTTAAATCATCTTCAAAAACTTCTGAAAAACTAGTTCTATCAAGGCTCTCAAGCTAATTCAGGCTGCAGCTTAATGTCACTCCTTACACATTAGACTTAAACCCTAAAAAGGCTATAACAGCACATATATATGAACAAACAAAGTGCACAAATCTTCATACACCCACAGAATACACCTGTCACCTTAAGCCAATCATTGAAAAGGCATAATATAGATATTTTCAAGAGCAAGCACCAATAGCAGAAGGCCACCTCAGCAAATTTGTCTCTATGCAAACTGAAATTGACACATGTACAACACATTGCAACATACTCCATTCAACTCTAGACTTAGCCACTAAGAAATGCAATATTCTTACATATTCACTCAATTTAGGACCACTGAAACGTGTCACACTACTGAGCATAGTAAGAAATGACCAGAATACCCTTGCAACAGATTTTTAACTTCTTGGCTAAAAAAAATCCTGAAATTGTATTAGCGACAAAGCTGATTCATTCAGGCCAATCCAGTGCAATGCAGCATCCAAAACATACGTGTACATGTTGAATACAACTGAGAAATGACAATGCTACCCCTGGAACCATTTGTGACAGATTACATAAATTGAATCCACACAATTTTCAGCAAATTAAGCAAGAACAGATAGATGAGCTGTGATGAAACCATTAAAATAGCAATGAGAGATAAGACACTGAATAGAACATGACCGTACTATCCTTGAGGCTTATTTCAAGCAACTTTGACAATGAAGAAACCCTTTGAAACCACTGCCACTTAGCTTTTTGACATTAAAGAGGCAAACAATGGTTAAGGAACTTAGGACCGACATATTTTGTTGAGGTATGGCCACAACTGAGAACTCATTCTTGATATCTTTGACATCACAATAGCTTTCAAACTCTCTCACAGTGATTTCAGTGCCAAAATCTGATCTAAGCTTCTTGACAGTGCATCTTTTTTCATTTTTAACAAGGTTTACAAACGTAATGAAGTGTGTACTGGCTTCAAATTTCTCTTTCAGAAAGTAAACACTTACCATTCTACTGAAATCATCAATAAGGAGCATGAAGTATTTATTTTCAACAATGCTTGTAGTTCTGGCAGGGCCACAAAGATCCATATGAATTGAGTCAAGATCCCTTGAGGTGTTCACTTCTTTGGATGGGAATGAAACCTTAATTTGCTTCCCTTGTTGGTATGCTCTACAAGTGTGATCTGCCTTGAAGTTCAACTTAGGTAAGCCATTCACTGCTTTGAACTTCAAAATCTTTGAAAAATTCCTTGACTGAACATGTCCAAGCCTCTTGTGCTACATAACTGCTTCATTAACAGTTAATAGATTGTAATAAGTTGGTTGAGCCTCTTCAATGATTGTGTAGACATTTCCAGAGGACTTATTGGCTGAGAAGAGGACCTTATTTAAGGTAAGATCAACCACATTGCACTTGTCTTTGTCAATGACTCACACTTAGCAGATTGTGTTTGAATCCTTCAATATATAAAACTTCATTGATCTTTGGTAGTTCTTTAGACTTGCAAACATTTCTAATGCCTAAAATTTTTGCCTTTTAATTATCTCCGAACACCACATTACCACCATCAAATTTCTTCAAAAAAAGGAACTTGGAATTGTCACCAGTTATGTGTCTTCAACATACCATCTGTTATTGGTGTTACAAGCTTTAAAAGCTATGTAAACTAACATACATATTGAGTTAAGCTTCTTGGGGATCCACATCATCTTGGTCTCAACAAAAGACCCTTTGTCTTTTACTTTCTGAGCTTGCAAGGGGTTTGATTTCTTTATATACACAGGAGTGAACTTGATGTTTTTCATGGCTGCAGTGACAAAGTTACACTTGTTAAGCTTAAATATAGTGTTGGTCTTGTCAAGTATGTCATACCAGTGGAGGATTTAATAAACATTGAGTGAGTATGTTTAGCCTTATCTGTAGTGTCACATAGATAACCAATGTTTGTTTTGCTAACATACTTTGTGGAATTCTTCCAAATTTTATTCATCTTTAGTGATCTCTCTTATAGAGCTTGTGAGAGTTCCTCTTTATATTTTTTGGTAGTCCACACATTCTTGTTGAATTGAAGTTTCAATACACAGAACACAGTAAATGAGATAGAACACAGAGTTGATAGCTTTAACTTGAAATGCTTGATAATTTAATCCTTGGACTTTTATAACTTTGAGCTGAGCTTTTTGATTTAAGACTTCTATTGATCACACTTAACTGACAATCTCTCATATTCTTTACGGATTTCTTCCACTTCAGTGTCACTATCTTCTTCAACTTCATTTTAGGCTTGAGGGTTTTCAAGTATAGCCATAAACAAATAGTTTCATCTTGTTTTTCTTCTTCGGGAACTATATCACAGTCAGAGATAAGAGCCTTTCTTCTAAATCTCCCCTTGTTGTTGAATGTCTCACCCTTCTTCTGGGTTTGGCTTTTAGAATTAGGACAATTAGCCACAAGTGACTAGATTTACCACAACCATATTAGGTTTGGTTCTATGAATATGTCTCTTCTTGAATCTAAACTTTCTGAATTTCTTAGCTAAATAAGCCACCTCATCCTCTTCAAGATCATCATTCTTAGACTTCTGTTCAGCTTCTTTAACCATCTCTTTAGCCTTAAGAGCAACTTCTCTTCTGTGTTGAGTGGGGGTTCCAATTGTCATCTCATATGCTTTGAGTGAGGCTTGAAGATTATTAATCTTTATTTAAGATAAGTATTTGTCTTAAAGAATGGCATCCTTGGCATTGAAACTTGAGGTTAATTACCCCAGAATCTTCTTGCAGACTTCAGAATCTTTTACATCTTCACTGAGAGCCTTCATGTTGTTGACAATATCATTGATCTTGAATAAGTACTCTGAAGTAGCTTCCCTTTCTTCCATTTTGCATCTTTCATATTGAACCTTGAGAAGCTGAATCTCATTCTCCTTTATCACACCATTTCCTTCATAAGCAACCTTGAGTGAGTCCCACAGTTCCTTTGTTGTTTTACAGTTTTTGATCCTTATGAACTCTTATTGCTTGAGAGCATAGAAGAAAGCGTGCTTTTCTCTTCCATCATTAGCTAAGGTTTCTTTGTTTTCAGCTGAGGGGTATCTGGGTTGAGAACAACAATACCAATAATGGTAGCTCGCCACACATTATAAGACTAAGACATTAGAAATGCTTCCATCCTTGTTTTCCAATAATCATAATTTGAACCATAAAAACCATGAGCCTTAGTAGTAGCTTGACTTTCATCCATTGCACAAGATCTTTTGCAGGTTGGTTAAAACCTCAAAAAGGCAGACTAAAGCTCTAATACCAATTGATGAACCAAGATGAGAGGGGGTGAATTAGTTCTTCTGTTATATTCTTCTTCTTAGCTTGGTCAATGTAATGGATATAACGTAATGAGGCTAATAAGATTTTGATAAACCTTACAAGAAACCACAAGTACACAGTGCATTTATGATGAGTCTCGCCCTTTCCTCTAAGTGATTAAGAAAATGGACTTTTTAATGTAAGAGGTCGCTTCTCAAGGTCAAAATATGA